GATTTATTTAAATTATATTTTATATTTTATTTTAAGAAATATATATATCTATTACTAGTCCTGGCCAAATATGAATAATTTAAGGGTTACAAGTATAGTTTTAATAATATTATTTAAAAGATATATTAGATAATATGGCATTGATGAAGATGTTTTATATGTTATCATATGAACTTTTATAAATGAAATTAAAAAAAATCCCTCAATTACATAATTGTTTTATAGTAATATAGTTATTAAATATAAAAATAAACACATCTTATTATTAAATATGGTGTTTATATATATCACATAGTTAGGGAGAAAAGGAGTCTAAAAATATATTTCCTTACTCTACTCACAAATGCAGCTCCTGGCCAACACAACCAAAAACCAAGCAATGCATCCACTAGAGTTTGTGCTTGAACTCCACTACAAAGGGCAGTGAATCTATTCATCCAGCAAGTGGCCAAGTTCTCAGCCAATAATTTGATGCACTCTTGCCTATAATTGCATACTACCAATCTGAGTATAAATCTGATCTTGCTCCAGAGGAAACAAAATAAGGAGGGACATAAAGATGATGATTGGCTTCATCTGATTGGTTCCACCTCTACCCTTTATTTTAATCTACTCCAACACATCAGCTCTATGTTATGCTCCATTATCCCAGCTCCACTCATCATCCCTAATCACTTTTGCACAATAAATTGCCACTTTAACTTCCTTAGAATATTCTTTCTTTCAAATCTTAGAATCTTAACTTGATAGCCATACCTCACCCTAACACATGTTTGCCTTCATGTGTGTCTTAGATCTCATAGAGAGAGTCCTTCCAAAGAAAAGTTAATTATCTTAGGGAATTCAAACATTTTTCTTTGCTCCAAGTATCTTCTCTTGGTTTATTTGATTCTATTGAGTAGAACTTAAAGAGTGGATTTTAGTGATGTCCATGCTTTTAGAAGGTACTGGAAATAGTCACTGGTCAATGTAAACAGGAAGGAGTGTAAAATTCTCTAAATTTTACGGCAAACCTGTAAAACACAATTAATAACTTCCACTAATTAGTAAGATGATTCCATTAACGCGGACAATGATCTCGTGCCTGCTCCTATATATGCTTGGAACCTTCGCGATCGCCATCGCCATCGCCTAGCTCGAGAAGCTTGGAGTGGATCTCGTCTCGGCTCGTCTCTTAGAAAGAAGAGCTCTTTGCATTCCTATAAACCCACAAGCATCATAAGTTATGCCTTTGATACAAGCTGCATCACGAAAGGAGCAAGCAAACAAAGAAATATCAATATCAGATGACTTACTTAATATGGTCGATCGAAGATGACTCGCAGCTGATCCTCCGTGATAGGGAACTGTCTGGCTTTATCGATCCTAAACAGCCTTAGGATCTCCTGGAAAACTTCGCGAGCGTTTGCAAACCTTCCACTCTCGTAGTAGGCCTGAAAGACGGCGTTGTAAGACAGCAGCAGGGGGCGATGGCCGAGCGAAACCATCCTCTGGAGTATGTGGTGCGCCTCCTCGGTTCTTCCCAGCTCACAGAGCTTTCGGATCAGCTCAAGGTAGCTCGCTCCAGTGGGCTTGAACTGGCGGGCAACAGTTTCTTCCAAAGCTCCATAGGCTTCGTCCAGCATTCCGGCTTGACAGTAGCCTTCCAACAGCACCCTGTAAGTGTCTTGAGTTTGCGGCGAATCCACCTTTTGCATCTGCTCGAACAACTGCCGAGAAATTCCAGCTTTTCCAGCCTTGAAGTGGTACTTGATCAGAAGCTTGTAGGACTTTATCGTCGGGGACAATCCTCGCTCCACCATTTTCTGGTGGAGCTCGTAAGCGTCCTCTAGTCGGCCCCTCCTACACAGCTTCGTTACAAGGCTGCTGTGAACCATGGCCATCTGTCTGCTGAGTGTCGGCTTTCCATGCTCGACCATTTTCTGGAACTGCGCCAGTGCCTTGCTCACCTTGCCAAGCCTCACAAGTCCTCGTATGATCTCGTAATACGTCAAAATATTGATCTCACAACCCCTTTCCAGCGCTTGCTCAGCAACTGTCAAGCTTATCTTGAGTTTTCCCGACGTGAAAAGCATCCTGACGAGAGTATCCCACAGGTGGTGATTGATCGAGCCTTGTCTGCTGTCAGCTTGTGTCACTAGCTGCTGTGCAAGGCCTGGATAGCCGGCTTGGCACAGTCCTTCCACAAGACTGGTGCAAAAGAGTGCGTCTGGAATCCACTGCTTCTCTTCCATCTCCGAGACCAACTTGTGGACGAAGGCTGGCAGCTTCTTGTTCCTGGCAATCCACCTCAAGCCAGCCATGATGGCGTTGTGAAGTTCACACGATGGAGCACACCCTCTCCGGACCATGTCTTTCACGAGCTCATCCACCTCCATGGCTCTTTCGTCTCGCAGAAAGGCACGAACGAGCGTTGCGTACATCCCCACTGTTGGTTGCATGTCTTTGGCGATCGTCTGGAGAATCCTGTACGCCTCTTCCAGCTTCCTTTCCCTGCAGAGCTTGTTGATCTGAGAAACATACGCAGCCAAGCCTTTGAGGCTGCCGCATTCGTTTCTCACATCTTCCTCAAACTTGCGAGCGTCCTCCAAGCTCTTGCTCTTGAGAAAAACTTCGGAGATAAGCACGTAAGTCGCTCCATCGGGCTCGCATCCTTTTCTTATCATCTCCGTGAAGAGCCTCCGGGCAGCGTCCACGCTCTTGTGCCAAGCCAGCGCTCGCATGAGCGAGTTGTAAGTCACAGCATTGGGAGGACAGCCGATATCTTCCATCTTGTAGAACAACTCCACAGCGTTGTCCACTTGCCCAGCCTTGCACAGTCCCTTGATGAATATAGTGTAGAGCACCACGTCGGGCCGAGCGTTTCCACGCTCTTGGATCTGCTTGAGGAGCTCAAAAGCATAGTCCACCTTCCCAACGTTGCAAAGCCCGTCTATAAACGCACTATACGTAACGATGTCGGGACTTTCCATCTTTTCCAGGTAGGAGCAAGCCTTGTCAAACTGCCGTGCCTTGCAAAGCCCATCGATCACAGTCGTGTAGAGCACTACGTGAGGAGTGTATCTTCTCTCGATCATCTGCTGGAAGAGCTCGCAAGCCTCTGCGATCCTCCCGGCCTTGCAAAGCCCCGAGACAAGAGCTCCATAAGTGTGAGAGTTTGGCTGGCAGAGAGCCTCGTCCATGTCTCGAGAGAAAATCTCCAGTGCCTTGTCCACGAGCTTGGCCTTGACAAGCCCGTCTATGAGACTGTTATACACCACCACGCTCAAGAATCGCAAGCTCTTTCGCAGCCTTTGGTAGTGATCCGTGGCCTCGGAGATCTTCCCAGCCTTGCAAAGTCCAGTGACGAGGAAACCAAAGCACTGGACGACCCTCTCTTCTTCTTCTCCACCATAGCGTTCCTTAAACTCTTCGAAGATCGCCAGCGCCTTCTCGGCATCGCCCTGTGCCGCTAGACCATCCACGAGAATCCCATACATGAACTTGGAGGGAGCCAAGGAAAACCTGGAGAGCTCCTGGAATCTATCGTATGCCTGCCCAGCTCTTCCACCCTTGACAAGAACATGAACGAGGCAATCGTATGCCAAGATCCCGGGCCTGTAGCTCCCACCACTTCCAGACGCCCACTCGAAGAACGAGCACGCCATCTCTAAGCTCTGAGCTCCAAGCACAACCCTAGCGACTAGAAAATCCGAGAGAAGAGACTCGAATCGCTGCCCAAGAGCACTGCCGATTTCCTGTCCATGCTCTAGGAACCCCAAAATATCGAGGATTGCATCGGCATGGCCGAAGAATCCACTCGATCGACTCGAGCGTACCTGGCGGATGCTGCATTCCACGCGATTGTAACGCTGCTGGAGCGATTTCGTCCGGGACGACGCTGAGATGAGCACCGCATTTGGCTTGGAAGTAGCAGAGGCGACGAGCGAGCACAGCTCCTTCAAGGGATCGCCATTGCTGTCTTGCGAGCCGGGGTGCTTCTTCTTCTTGAGCACTGGATTCGAGCGGCCATTTTCCCCACCATTGTCGCCAGAAGATGAGGAGGAGGAAGCGTTGCTATCGAGATTGAGACGGAAGAAGCGCGAGCGAGGGCGCAGGAGCCCCAAGCGCATCCTCTGCCCACATTCTTACACCCTAAACCCCTCGTCATTTTAATTTATAATCATATATTCATAATAAAAGAAAAGGAATATATTTTGAAAAAAAGGAAAAAATAAATAATGGAATCATTTGGAGTAGCTTGATTGGTTTAATATAAATCATGTTTTATGAAGCAACAAGATAAAATAAAATTCTACATTTGCAATATTTATTTATTCACTATCTATTTCTTTATTATTTTAATTTAATATTTAAACCTTCTTTGAGAACATTTAGAATTATTGTATTCTAAGTTTATAACTTTAAATTTCCTCAAAGGTTATTTAGTGCAATATTATTCAAACCCAAAGATGTTTAATTCTAAATATCTTAAAATATTTAATTAATTGAAAAACATTATTTATAGGAATTTTCTTTTTACATTTGAACCTAAATAAATTGTCTCTCAAGTCATTATCTTTTATTTCTTAGAAGTAATTGTAAATTATAACAATTAAAAAGTGATATATAATTTCAGTAAAATATAATATACACTTCATATATTAAATAAGTACAAAGTAATATTTCATTTTTAGCATAAAAGATTTAACATTATTTATAATACTTTTGTCTTCCAAATGACTCTTTTACAAAATTAAACCCACCTAAGAAAATTAAATTTTTTTTTAAAGCACTTCTTCACTTTCCATATGACTCCTTTACAAAATTAAATTCACCCATTATAGTTTAGAAAAATTAAAATTCTTGTCCAGGCACTAAAGACAATTTTTATCTTTATTAAAATTTGGGTGGAATTCCAAAAAAAAACTTTTAAGTGAAATTTAATTTTAATAATCAACAAGTGTATTCAAATTGAAACTATATATTAATGGAGAAAAGTATCTTTAATTAATAAAACTTTACCTAGGAATAATTTTGATGGGATGAGCCTCTGTGTTAAATACCCATTGATTGAAAAGAAAATTATCAGAAGAAGAATATAAAAGAAAAAGATACTTAAGGGTCTCTGCTAAAAAATAACTTTGCATCTTATTGTCTTTTTTACCAGTAATAACCTGTAATAAGATAATAAATTTATTATTAAAATGCATATTAAACATTAATCTTACATCAACATGACCAACATAGCCATTTTCCACTCGTGAGTATTTCTCATATGCCAAAAAAATGTTCCAACCCCATTCTCTATATGCTTTATTGTTTGTTAATCGCCACATATAAAAAATTGACTCAAGAGTCTCTGGTCTCATAATGTTCTTTGGATCTTGAATTGTCATTTCCTTCACAAATATAGAATTAGTATTTGCAAGAAGATTTACTAAAAACTTTGTATCAACCTTGCCATTATAAATATAAGTGTCAGCAGCAATTCTTATAGGTGAGGAATAGAAAAAATTATAGCAGGTGGTGGTCAACTGATTTATATGTGTAGTGAAATTATAAAAAGAAAAGGAAAGAGAAAAAAAAAACCTGTTGGGCAAGCCAAAGATACTGATTTTTCTTTTGAGCTGAAGCATCATAAGAGCCAAGAACAAGCATAGCAGGAATAAAACAAGCAAGCTCCTCCATCTGAAATGTTTCATATGAATATGCAAAAGTTTATATGAAAAAGCTTACCTTGGGAAAAAGGTCACCATTACTATTGCGTTCAAATACATAATAGTATGGTGCTTTTTTTTTAATCAAGGTCATCAAACCATCCATAGATCTCTCCCACATTTGTCTAAATGATAATAAAAAATATTAAAATAAATGGAAAGGAGTAAGGAATACCTATAACCTTGTACTGCTTGTGTTTTACCTCCAAGAACCCATGTTTTTAGAAGGTACTCATAAAAGCTAGAATTAATTCTATAAGCATAGAAAATATTAAAAAGATTATAGAATACCTGTCACCTGTACCCCCAAAGGTAACTTTGTCATACCGTTGTAGGGTATGTGGGTCAATGTAAACAGGAAGGAGTCCATCTTTTGGAAATATTTTCTGAATTGTTCTCATGGCAGTTTCAACCTGTAAAACACAATTAATAGCTTTCACTAGAGATGATTCCATTAACCTTGATGCGATACTTTTGCAATCCAGTTCTTTGTGACAGAGCAATAAACTCAACTTGCAAGGTTCCAAGTTCAGCCAGCACACTGGCTCCCTAATCAATCCATAAGTTTTGGAAATCAGGTTTACCAAAGAACATATATATACCACAGGATTTCTCGCCTCTCCACTTGCCAGATTCACCCTCCCATAGGGTATTCCAGTCTCAGTATTGAATGCTGGAAGTAACCTATCGGCTAATTGTCTCGCTTTCGTTAAGAAAATATCATCCTTTGTGAGGTCATATGTGCTTATCAACCCTCCCAGAATTCTATGCATAACAAAAACTTAGGAAATTGAGACAATATTTGTAGAAATCATTACCGAACTGTTGTTTCAAACAGATTGACCTCATAGTTTATGTTAAAGTTGAGCCCAGCTACGAACCTGTGCATTAAGTTAGGCACATGATGTATCATCTGTTACAAGGATAAGTACGTTCTAGCTTTCTGAAATTGGGTGTGGAGGCCCATGATATAGAGTGTGTCCATTGCGTCTATAATGGTGGCACCAAGACCACCAAAACTGTTCACCCCATTTTTTGTCAAAGGCTAAACAAAAATATCAGAAGGAAAAAAAAAGTCAAAACGAGAGACAGAGGGTTAAAGGTTTTCCATATTACTTGTAGCTCGTCTTCACCCCAGGCGAATTTCTCATATGATGTCCAGGCATGGAGCATGGCTGCCCTCACTCTCTCTCTTCTTTGCAAGGTCTCATCTGTAGGAGCAAACTTCAGATCTTCCTGCACAAAATTGGACAATCAAAAATCAAAACTTTGGGGAATGAAGCAAAATGTCATCCTTGCCTCTGATGAGTGATCTGTGACGTTAGCCTACAGTACAAGTTATGAAAAGCCGGTAAGAACAAAAGTTTCTAGAACTGCACATACTGAGAAAATCCCGGAGAAGACTGTGAAGAGGAGGATGACCAGCACACGACCCATTGATCCAGTAAAGGTTAACTAACACCAGTTTTTAAAACAGAAAGAAATCTGTCGCCATTCTTTGACCGCTTTGGAGATCCCGTCACAGCTATGCAAGTTTGGCCTGTTTCTCGTCACACATGGCAAAACCTCGAAAAGTTTTGCAAAGTAAAACACTACCAAAAGTCCCGACAAGTGCACTCTCCAAGGCTCACGAACTTGTGGAAGCGGTTTGCGTCGCGGACAATGATCTCGCGCCCCGTGACTTTGGAGATCATCTTCGCGGCAGCGTGACAATCGCAGCACATTCTCAAGTTCTTCATCACCCTCAGCGGTGTTCCATGCGGCGTCGACAACACCCCAAACGCGATCGCCACCTTCTCGCTGTGGTATCCCAAAAGCTTGCTCTTGCTCGCGTCCTCGATGTCATGCAAGACCTCCTCGGTGCTTGGAACATACCCCGCTTTCGCGATCGCGTCGCCCAGCTCGAGAAGCTTGGCGTGGATCTCTTCCCACCTATTGTGGCTCGTGTCTCCCACCAAGAACTCGTGGATCTTGCCATCGATCTCGATCCAGCTCCGCCCGGGTTGCTTTCTCACGCCGCTCCTCTCCATTCTCTTGCGAGTGTCCTTGACGTCGTCCCACTTCTTGGCAGCGGCGAAGAGATTCGAGAGAAGTACGTGATCTCCGGAAGCTTGCCCTTTGGACTGCGACTTACAGACCGCCTCGGCTATGCGTTTTGCTCGATCCACGTCCCCGTGAACCTTGCATGCTCCAAGCAGCATCGTCCAAGTCACTGGATCCGGAAGAAAAGGCATGGTTCGGATGAGTTCTTCTGCGTGTTCCAGCCATCCCGCTCGGCTCAAGACGTCAACCATGGTGGAGAAGTTATCGGCATTTGGAGTGAGGCCATAGTCGCTTGAAATGCCGAGAAAGAGGACGCCAGATCTATAGACCAGGCCCGCATAGCTACAAGCCGATAGAACACATCCATAGGTGATGAGATCCGGCTTGATTCCCTGCTGCTGCATCTCCACAAAGAGTTCCAGTGATTCTATTGGGTAGCCGTTTTGGCAGTGAGCAGCGATGATCGCAGTCCAGGAGATCACGTCTTTGTTGTGGATTCTATCAAATACGAGCCTTGCATCTTCGACACATCCAAACTTGGCATACATGTAGATGAGCGAGTTGCCAACGAGAACATCCGTGTCGAGATTGTGATGTCGAGAGATTCGAGAGTGAACCTCTCTTCCTTGCTGGATCGCTGTTAAGTTTGCACAGGCATCGAGAGCTGCCAGAAAAGTTCGCTGGTCTGGCTCCAAGTCCATCGCCTGGTAGAGCTCCAAAACGTTCATGTAATCCCCATTTTGGGCATTTGCCAAAAGCATCGCATTCCACGATACAACATCTTTATCCTTCAAGTTGCTAAAACATTTTCTAGCCTCGCCAATACAACCAAACCTCCCATACATACTGATTAGCGAGTTGCTTAGATTGGTTTCTCGTCTCAGATTTATCGACTTGTTTGCCAAAATCTTCGTGTGGACATCTAAACCCTGTTCTAATCTCTCTACTCCAGCTATCAGACCCAGAAATGTTACAGCGTCGGGTTTTAGATCCATACTTTTAAACAAATCCATCGCTCTATCAAAATACCCATTCTGGGCAAATGCTGCTACCATTGCGTTCCAAGTAACAACGTCTTTCTCCAGCCTTGCTTTAAAGATATAAAATGCTTCGTCTAGCCGCTGGAATTTTCCGTACATTGTAATAAGCGCATTGCCGAGAATATGGTCTCCAGCCAGTGCCCCATCCGCGACCATGCAGTCGTACAAATGCCGGCCCTCTATCAAGCTCGAGCACGCCTCTAGGGCAACCACGTAGGTTATCTGGTTGGGTCTCACTCCCTGGAGATCCATCTCGCGGAAGATTTGCATCGCCAGGCGCTTGGATCCGTTGCTCGCGGCCGCGGCGATCATGATTGTCCACGAGTAGATGTTCTTCCGGTCGCCGATTTCATCGAACACGCGCTGGGCATCGCCGACGCTGCCGCATTTGCCATACATTTCGATCAGTAGATTCGCAAGGAAGCGATCCAGCTGCGAATTCCTGGCCAGGCGGTGGTGAATCCGCCGGCCATCGGCTAGGTTCTTGGATCTTCCGCAGCGCTTGATCAGAGACGAGCAGAGGTCTTTCAGGGAATCCGGGTGAGCCGTGTCCAGGGCGGCCAGATCGATTGTCTCTTGGTCGCCGCGATGCCGATATTTCGAGACAGAGCAGTGGATGCTCCTCTTCTTGACAAGATTTCTTCTCACGAGCATCGAAGAAGCTCGATCGTGGCGGCATCTGGTCGATCGACGAGCTAGGGTTTATGGTACTATGGCGATTCAAGCTGCGGCATCTGGATCGACCGAGGCGCGCGCCGGCATTCTTGGAATCCCTGGCGCCCGTCGCAGTAGTATCATCCGATCAAGACGATCTGGAGAGCGCTCTCCACAGGCTAGACCAGGGCGCGAGGGTGGAGTCGGACGAATTCGCGGCTCTACTCCGGCAATGTGGGATCCAGGGCGCGCTCCCAGAGGGCCGGAAGATCCACGAACACATGGTGAGACGCGGCTACCAGGGTGAAAGATACCTCGAGAACTTGCTGGTGGAGATGTATGGTAAGTGTGGGAGCTTGCCCGAGGCGTGGGATTGCTTCGCCCGGATCGCGCTTCCAAACCTCTACTCCTGGACGATTCTCATCACTGCATATGCCCAAAACGGGCATTTGGATGAGGCACTGGTGTTCTTTAGCAAAATGGCTCTGGAGGGGATCAAGGCCAACGCCATCACCTTCGTCGTCGCTATCAATGCGTGCGCCATGCTCGGAGATCCCAGACGCGGTAAGGCTCTTCACGATTTCCTTGTTCCTTGTGGTTTTTTCGATTCCAGTCTTGTTGGAAACTCTCTGATTCACATGTATGGCAAATGCAGGGACTTGGACGCGGCCAAAAGCGCTTTCAACGAGTTGAAGAAGAAAGATGTGGTGACTTGGAACTCGATCATATCGGCTTACGCGCAGAATGGTCGTGGGAAGGAAGCTCTCGAGCTCTACAACGACATGGACTGGACGCCGGACAAGATAACGTACGTCGGTGCTATCGAGGCTTGTGCGAGCTCGCAAGACTTAGAACAGGGTAGAATGATCCACGCTAGGATTGACAAAGGTGGCGTCAAGCCCGACACAGTTCTCGAGAACAGCATCCTCAACATGTACTGGAAGTGCCGGAGCCTAGACGATGCCAAGGCCATGTTTGCGACGATGGACAGTCCTTCGTTCGTGGCATGGAATATCATGATCCTGGCTTACGCTCACAGCGGATACGTGAAGGAAGCACTCGAGACGTTCCAAAAGATGGACATTGAAGGTGTCGAGGCTGACTGCGTGAGCTTCTCCAGTGCTCTCGACGCCTGTGCGCACGCGAAGGCACTAGAGTTTGGCAAGGCGATTCATGACAGCCTCGGTTGCTCGGACTCGAGAGCTGTTTGCGTCAACAACGCTCTCACGAACTTCTATGGGAGGTGTGGTCGTCCGGAGGATGCCAGGATTATCTTCGACCAGATGCCAATGAGAGACGTGATCTCGTGGACAGCCATGATCTCTGTTTACGTCGAGACGGGATTCTCCGGAGAAGCTCTGGCTTTGTACAGGGAGATGTGCTTGGAGGGAGGAAAGCCGAATCAGGTGACGTTGAAGATCGCTCTGGATGCTTGTGCGGAGCTGGGGGATCTATCAGCCGGGAAGGGAATTCATTCCTGCGTTCTCTGGAGCGAAGAAACGGCACCTCAAGTCGGTAACACGCTCGTCAACTTCTACAGTAGGTGTGGTGAAGTCCGGCTAGCTCGAGCAGCCTTTGACAAACTCCGAGAGCGGGACATGGCCTCCTGGACGACGATGTTTCGGGCCTACGGCAACAATGGCGACGACCGGGAAGTCATCCAGCTCTTTCACGAGATGGTTCTCTCCGACGAACTACAGCCCGACACAGTCATCTTCAGCATCGCTTTGCAGTCGTGTGCCAACGTGAAGTCTCTAGCGGATGGCAAGGCGATTCACAAGTCTCTAGCCGACAGCAGCGAAGCCGTCCAGACCGACGTGGTTGTGTGCAACACGCTGCTGTCCATGTACGCCAAGTGTGGGGCCTCGGCCCACGCGAGAGCCGTGTTTGAGAGCATGAGCCGCCGGAACGTCATCACCTGGAACGGGATCATGAAAGCTTACGCTTTGCAAGGCGAATTTGGCGAGGCACTGGCGCTGTTCCAGCGGCTCGAGGCCGAGAAGGAGGTGAAGCCCGACCGCGTGACGTTCGTGGTGGCAATCGACTGCTGCGCCTGCAAGCCATGCCTGGAAGAAGGGAGGAGAATCCACGCCAGTGTAGTTGCTTCCGGCCTCGACCTGGACCTCATCATCGGCAACACGCTGGTAAACATGTATGGGAAGTGTGGACAAGTTGGAACCGCGAGGGGGCTGTTCGACAAGATGGTCGTCCGGGACGTGGTAACTTGGTCATCGCTGCTGGCAACGTATGCTTCCAACGGGCACGGCATGGAAGGACTGGAGCTCTTCCGGCTGATGCAGCAGGACTACACGGAGCCAAACGAAGTTACGTTCCTGGGGGTGCTCTTCGCTTGCAGCCACCTCGGGTTCGTCCGCGAGTCCAAGAGCTACTTGTTCGCGATGCAGCGAGACTATGGACTGACGCCCGGCCAGGAGCACTTCTCGTGCGTGATCGATCTCCTAGCTCGCTCCGGGAGGCTGGACGAGGCCGAGGAGCTGGTTCGCGGCCTGCCGTTCCAGCCGGACAACGTGATCGTCACGTCGCTGCTGGGGGCTTGCACGACTCAGGGGGACTTGAAGCGCGGGATCCGAGCGGCGGAGCTGGTTTTCGGCCTGGACGCGAGCGACCAGGTGCCGTATGTGCTGCTGTGGAACATCTTCGCGGCCGCGGGGCACTGGGACGGCGTGGAGAGAGTGGAGAAGGCGCTTGGATGGAGGGCGCTGGAATTCACTTGAAAATGGTCGATCGAAACCATGGTCGATTCATCGTGAAAATGGTCGATCCATCGTGTGTGTGAGTCTCCAGGGAAGTGGTCGATCGCACAGTGGAAGTTTTGGGCGCTCCGAGAACACCGGAAACTATCGCGAGGAAGAAGGGCGAATATCCTGGAATTGGAGATCCTATTTTTCCCTTGGGCATTAATCTATTTTAGGGTTCCTGGCTTGGGAGGGATTTAGGGTTTGTGGATGGATCTCAACGTGCTGCCAGAGGAGACGGAGGAGGAGGAGGAATGCCAGGTCGCATTGCAGGAGGAAATTGAAGCGGCGGCGGAAGAGAATCCAGAGGAGGAGGAGGCGGCGGAGGAGGATGGCCGCGTCGAGACGGGCGTGGAGACGTATCGGCGGGTAAATGAGAGAGAGAGATTGAAATATCGAATTGAGAATCCCTTGTCTCGCCCAGGAGCGCGAGGAACGAAGGGCGAGGCTGAAACGAAAGCTTGAGAACGCTTCTATACAACCCGAGAAACCCCGCCGGGCTCCAGCAGCTCCAGCTCCGCCCCCACCGCAGCAACAGTATGCTGCTTCTTCGATTCCTTTGATTCCCAAGGGTACCACTCAGATTTTTTGTTCTTGGTTTCGTTTTCATTTGGTTTTCCTTAGGCTGGATCGATTGTCCTCCATTTGGCGAGCCTGTTCTCAGGTTTGTCCCATCTAAAGTCTTTCTTGGGGAGGCCTACAATGCTGCCATAGAGCCGGGGAAGCGATATAGCTGGAAGCGTATCCTACGACAGCACAAGGATGTTGGTTTGATAATCGATCTCACCAACACGACCAGATACTACTCCGCGAACGAAGTGACGAGAGCTGGTCTCAGCCATTTCAAAGTAAGCTGCTTTTTCTTGCTTCTGTGTATTACATCGTCTTGCTCACTGCTTAGATTCCATGCAAAGGTAGGAACGAAGTCCCTGACGCTGAGGCTGTAAATACTTTTGTCTATGAGGTATGCGATTCTGTTTTCTATGGCGTAATGCCGGTGTAACTGTTGCGCTTAGACACATCGCTACCTTCAAAGATCCAAGACCTCACGCGTCCTCGTTCACTGCACGCACGGATTTAACAGGACCGGGTACATGATTGTCAACTATCTCGTTCGCTATTGCGGCCTCCCCGTGACTCAGGTGTGCTTATTGTTTTTATTTTTGTCTCGCATTCGGAACTTTGATTTCTTTCCGTGTAGGCTCTCGCAAAATTCGCCGCTGCAAGGCCTCCCGGTATCTATAAAAAGAGCTACATTCGGAAATTATATGCGCTCTACCACGACCCCACTCCTTTCGCTGCTCCTGCTGTTCCTGATTGGAAAAGGCTCGATTTGAATGGTACCGTCGATGATGATGACGGCGATGACGACGAGGACGACCATACGCTAGACCGGCAAGAAAACGCTGCTCCAATGACAAACGATGATGTTCTTGGCGATGCAATTTCAAGTGAGGAGCAAATCGAACTCCAACGATTGTGTCTGTCGTTGCTTGACCTGGTAAGCCATCGGAATTCTTCGGCTGATCTGTTCGACTTCAACCTCCAGGCTTCACAATCCAGAAACATGTCTTTTCCAGGCTCACATCCCGTGTCGCTGGACAGGTACGCTCCTTTCTTGTTATGTATCTGATTCTTACAAGGCCTGGGCAGGAGCAAGCTTCAACTGCTGAAACAACATTACTATTTTGCAACGTGGAAAGCGGATGGAACCAGATACATGATGCTCTTACTTTCTTATGGCTGCTACCTTATTGATAGGAAGTTTGAGTTTAGGAGAATCCAGATGCGGTTTCCTCATCCTCGAAAGGTGTGGAATTGCGAAGTTGGTTGAGACTATTCTACTCTCTATCTTGTTTAGGACTCTCCTTTGCCCGTGCATCATATGACGCTCCTAGACGGAGAAATGGTGATTGACAAACATCCAGAGACGGGGAAACTGGAGAGGAGGTACCTCATATATGACATGATGGTCGTTAACGCCGAGTCACTTGTCAAGGTTCGTCCGATTGTTCGTGGAGCTATTTAGCCTGGTTGACTTTTGCAGAAACCCTTTTCGCAAAGATTTCATGGGATAGAATCGGACGTTATAAGGCCCAGACACAATGACGCGGGCTCAAGTGGCTACCTTTACAAGGATGAAGAATTCAGAGTATGAAACCTTTGGGACCATGTTTGTGCTTCACCTGCTTCGCTTTGTTTTTTTCCAGGTCCGTAGGAAAAACTTTTGGCCCCTTTCGAGCACAAAACTGCTTTTCCAGAAGCTCATTCCCGGTCTTTCGCACCGATCAGATGGACTCATCTTCCAGGTTTGTAACTTGATCATACTTGTCGGCCGACACAAGCTCGTTTTCGCAATGCAGGGATTTGAGATGCCATATGTTTGCCGAACGTCAGATAGTTTACTGAAGTGGAAGTTTCCCAGTTTAAACTCAGTGGATTTTTACCTTCAGGTGGGACGCTAATGGCTGTCTATCACGTTCTAAGTTTTGGGATGTTTGCTTTCAGAGATCAGGGGATACTTTTACTTTGTCGCTGTTAGAGAAAGGAAACCATCAAGTGCTCCCGGGAGCTTCTGTAAGTTTTGATGGTAAGTCGCCTGGCAAGTACGCGGCGATCCTGATTCTCGGCTTGACAGACTCGGTTGATCCCTCGACGCTGGAGAACAAGGTGATCGAGTGCTCGTGGAACAACGAGAGGCAGTCCTGGGAATTCATGCGATTGAGGCCGGACAAGCCGCTTGCAAACGCGTTCAACACGTATAGAAAGGTTTGCGCGCTAAGCTGAGCTAGCGGGGTTTCTTACGCATTCTTGCCATGTTGATCTCAGGTATTCAATAGCATCAAGGACAACATCACACAGGAAGAGCTAGTTGAGGAGATCGACAGAACGGTCAAGCTCCCCATGTACAAAGAAAAGGACAAACAGTTTCTGAAGTAAGTTAAGCTGACTTGTCCGCAGATGGAGGAGAAACTATACATTTATGTTGTTCAACCAAAAGCTAAGTAGTCAAAAGAATGGTGTTGATTACGATTACCAAGGCATAGAAGAAGTTTCCTCTCAAAAGTGGAGACGCATACCTTCGTCTTTTTCTTGAATGCAGCGAAAGCAATTTGCCAACAATGTGTGCTCCTTGCTTATGCCACTTTCATATCCTCCAAAAAATCGAAGTACGAGGCACTCAAACTAAAGCTAACTCATGAGAGACTTGGGTTTATAGCTATATATATAAGTATGAATAGAAACATGCAAATATGAGTGTCATTATAAAGGCAAATGATTCTCCCATACACTTTATCGAGTTAAATTTCCCACAAAAGACTTTAGAATATTTTCCAATAGCTAATTTATAATCTTTATTTGCCCATTTGATTATGGATTTTTACCACTACTCATACTCAATTTATCTTTAACTTCTCAAAAATCATTTGCCAAAACTTAAATGTGAACTTAAGATCCCAACCATTTACAATCTTTGATGATACATAGTACAAAGAACTGGTCTCCTAGAGCTGGACAAACGCTACACAATAACTTGCTACAATTGTGCATGGTTTGAGCTTCTTGGCTGCCATGAAATCGTTAAACAACCTTGTCTTTTGTAGGACTGTTCAAGCGGCACAAACATCAACACATAATTAGATCATATTCAGTTCTAATTGTTTTCACATGTTCGTGGAGAAGAATCTTTGAATGTCAAGTTGACAATTATTTGCCAGGTTTGTTATAAGTGGCGTCACAACTCCCAAAAATCAAACTAGAATGGAATTGACATGGCTTCTCTTGCTGCTCTTCTTTCTGACCATGGGCTTCACTGCTTTAAGGAGGAACATTGCCTCCATCTCCAGGATGGCCACTTCGACGTTTTGGCCACCTCTATCTTGTTGGGAAGGAAGCACACGGATCTCCGCAAGCACTCTTCCGAAAATGTGGCCCAATCATGTATCTGAAGCTGGGACTAGTGCCAAGCATCGTTGTCTCCAGTCCAGGACAATGGCTTGGCATTTGCTTCGGCTCACCATAGCGCACTCCAATTCCCACATTGTTGTAGCCAACGAGCTCATTGATCAAAAGATATGGCCTCTATAAAGTGGCTGCGAAAGATTTGCCAAGTTACAAAGCAGAGAATAGATTCTTTTTCTTGGGTGAGATCAGAAGAACTGTCAAGAGTCTTTCGAGAACCGAATGATAGGAAAGCGGCAGTAAACTTGCGAGAGCTCAAGATTGTCAACTTTCACATTCAACGGATATATTGATGAGCAAGAGATTTTTTGGTGATGCTTCCAGAAGTAAACCAAAAATCCATAGAGTCCCAGAGATCTGTACTCCAGAGCTTAAGCATGGGCGCCAAGTTCCACATTACTGAGTTTATTCCAGCCTACCTTGAGTGGCATCCGTCAATTCAAGAAGATATATGAGATTCAAGACAATTCTTGCAGAAAATACTCGAATCACGTCAGGGTCCCAAGGATTTCATGGATGTCATGCTAGAGAACTTAAAGGAGGAAGGGAGGGGTTGTCAAAGCAATGATAACAGATAGAAAATTATCAAACTAGACCAAATCAACATGCCAACATTTTGAGCCAGACAAGCTGCTTACAAACGCGTTCAACATGTATAGAAAGGTTTTCACTCTAAGCTGAGCTAGCTGGGTTTCTTATGCATTCTTTGGCATGTTGATATGGTTTTATATCCAATCATGTCAATTGATATGATTGATCATATGATATATTATATCCATTGATCATATGATTAATCAATATGGTTTGGATATAATTGATATGATTGGATATAACATATCAACATTCTTGGCATGTTGATATGGTTTGATAATTTTCGCTTATCAGGGTAGAGGTAAGTTGCAACTACAGTTTTCTTTGGGTATGAGGCGCAACTAGGCATTTCCCACCTCTGGGCATTTGCAGTTCATGCCAGTGCAAGAAAGAAGTAGCTCAGTGGAGTACAAGGCACAAACTATTTCATCAGATCAGGCTCGTGGATGGTTACTTCATGAGTTAATTTTTAAGAGTGCATCTCAGATAACAAGTCGGATTTCGAGATGACGAGATGAGATTGACTTTTATAAAGTTGCAGATTCCGACTTTAGGCATTTAGAACTCAATATGGAGTGTTCTAAATCTCTCTGTTTGTGGACTCTGCTTCAATGTTAATTAAGAACAACTCTATCAAAAATAATGTTAGCCACAAATTCCTTTGCTTCATAAACTAGCCACCAATGGCAACCTCAAGAAACTAAATGAGCCTCACATAAAGGGATTCCAAAATCAATATAACTATAGAGAAAAGATGGGTAAAATGGATATACAGCATACAACACCACCATCTTCGGTTTGACCCATTTTTTGGCAGCTCCCACTTTAGTGCCATGATCTATTTTTGGTTGTTAGGTTTATCCTCTACTAACAGTCTACAAGTTTGCCTTTTGATTGTAATCTTGCTATTTAATCATCTAACTGCTATAATTTCTTGAGTAAGTATTCCAGCAGCCGATATATATAAATATGTCACTCTGAACAGCTGCTTTGGCATAGCAAAAGCACTACTGACAAAATCAATCAATGATCCAGTTTCATCCATACAGACACTTCTTTGTCATAGTTTCCTTCTCCTACACAGCTGCCTGAGACTAAAGTGGTGGAATGCAACACCATTAATTTCTTTTGTACTGACTGGACGATATCTACATAAGATTTCTCCCATCTAGACTCATCTGTCCGTAATGCACTTTGGGATCCACCAGTTTGGAGATATAGTGAAGATCTCAAATACCTTGCAAAATGAAGCAACCAACATTGGAAGTCCTCACACCCATCCTCTGTCAGAGCTCTCACCCATGCTTGTACTTTCCCCACCAGCGACCTCATAAACTTCAAACACTGTGCTATGTCTGTCAAGATATGATTAGAGGCACAATATTGAGTGAAATTATTAATATGATCATGTGGAAGAAACCCTGAAAACATAGGCAAATTCATGGCGTGCTAGAGAAAGTGGATTGTTAGGTGTTCCATGTTGAGCTCCAAATGCCCAAAGTCAGAATTTGCACCAATGAAAAAGACCACTATCCAAGATGCACTCCTGGAAATCTAGTTCGTGACACAAAATGATGCCACCATTTTTACCATCACTATAGTTGCCTATGAGATCTCTTTGATGCTGAGATCTTAAATTCTTTCAAAGAGAACAACAATGTGAGTGGCCTTAGCATCAAACTTTTGTGTAATTCTTGTTCTACCTATAAGTATTGAAGAGATTTGACTCCCATACAACAAGTGGTGGTGAGAAAACGAAAAAGACATTTGCAGCACTTCTATGCTATGATTTGGGTAGAAACAGTGGCGTCATTGTGTCGTGCTCTATATTATACACTTGGAACTAGAGATAAAGATTGGCAAGGCATTTTAATTATCTATTGAAAAACTTAGATTAGCCAAAAGATTTTTTAACTTCCTAGTTTCTTTATTTGTAGCTTGCGTTTTCATCTGAGCGTTTCGGCTCACAGGTCCAGAACTTGAAAAAAATATATGATCAGGCTAAGCGTTTCGGGTCACATAGAGAACTTGACAGAATATGTGATCTGACATATTCCGTCAAGTCCTTTCAGGTTTTGCATGATTGAAAGCTGTCGGATCGCTTATAAAATTTATATTTTTTTGCTATTCCTAGCAAAAAAATAATCATTAAATAAATTTATAAATCATGAATGAAATGTAATAAGCAACCAAATGTTTTTACCTCTTGCCCTAAAAACAGAGATTAGGGCTTTGCTTGAGATGGGGAGTGCTGTCTATGGCGGCATTGCGGTGAGCAGGATCCGGGGAGTCGCGGCGGCCGCCGGCAGCGGCAGATTCAAGCCGGAGTCTTCGATCTACTGCAAATGCCGGGCTTACAATGGCGACGGGAGCAGTGGGAATGGCGGGAACGGAGGCGACAAGAGGCCCCCCCAGGATGCGCTTCTCAGGGCGCTCTCAGGTTTTGTTTCTGGCGATTGGTGTGTGGTGGCTGGGATTGAGCGAGTTTTGGATTCGCAGAGGTTTCCAAGCGCGATGGTCGAGTGGGGAAGACTCTCAATGTCGTGATTGGAGGCTATCTTCCTGAGGATCAATGGAAGGCATTGGACGAACGGGTATGTGAGACTGAAAGAAAGAAAAGCTTGCAATCTAACAGCCTCTTTAAAGCTTTGCACCAGGTGAATCTCTACCCGATGGTGAGGAGATTCACAGCGATTGGGAGAGGAGGCGACGATTTCGCGCAGGCGATGGTGGTTGCCGTGGAGACTGTTCTTCAGTCTCCAATTCCACGGGTAAAGTTTCGTGTTTTTCCTTTCTCTTTTCTTACGAGAGATGTTTGACACAGGCCTGGGTTTCCAAGAGATTGTCGTCCAGAGGCAAGTATATATCCGTGAGAATCGGCCCCGTCGTGGTGAATTCCGGAGATCAAGTAAGTGAAACGTTTCCAGCGCTAGAGAAGGAGCTTACCATCCATAGATTTTTCTTCTTCCAACAGGTTCGAGCTGTCTATAACGCGATGAGACGGGACGTGCGAATGAAATACTTCTTGTAGCTCTTCGATCCATTTATAAGAATCCATCCCAAGTAAGATCCATACTTTATTTTTTCTCGTCCAATTTTTTTTTTTTTTTCATCCATTGTTTGATCGTAATTCCTTTCTTCTTTCTTTAACAGGGAGCCTCACGCATTCGTTTGAGTTGTACATAGGAAAAAAAAAAGCTTTCGCTCGCTTGGATGGAATTGAACCGGCGACCTGGAGAGTCTGACAAGTGTCGCAACCGCGTATCGCTAGATCAGCAGTCAATGGAAGCCCGGCATTTCAAATTTGCTCGATAGGGTTCCAAGGCTCTTCCTCTTTTCCACGCTCTCTCTCACGCGCTGTCCACCGATCGATCGATCAATCAATTCGAGCTCCGGATCACGCCAGGTGTGCCTTTGGTCTTTGCTTCCTCCTGTGGCAGGGATTTCACTCAGGGAATGCGACTGGGATTGTCGCGGCCATGACAGTGGAGGTGGTTGTGGAAAATGGAGGCGCCGAGGTGTCGCCGGTGGCCAAGATTGTCACGCTGGATGTTAAGCGGCAAGGCTCTGCCGAGATTAACGTTACTCCCAATCCTTCCATGGAGGATGAGGGCGATAGGATCGATCTAGTCAGAGATTCCGAAGGGAGATGGGTCGTGCGGTGGTGGAAGGCTCGAATTTCACGGCCTTTCATGCTTATCGTTCGCAGGTAGAGTTTTCTTTTCCCTTTTTTCGTTCCTCTTTTGATTGTGGATTTTCAGAGGAACTGAGCCCAGGCAACTTGCCTTTTCTGCTGCTTTAGGCGTGACACTGGGAGTTTTCCCGATCTATGGTCAGTTTTTTCTTCACGATCTCTTTGACTTGGCCCAGAAAGGGAGAAAAAAATTTGTGCTTGCTGACTTTACTTGGCTCTTCGTTTTTGTAGGTGTGACGTTATTTTTGTGTGCGATCGCAGTTTGCGTTCTCAGATCCAGATGCCACGCTCCAACTTTGATGCTCACAAATTTCGTTGCTACTCCACTAGAGCTCGCGTGAGTGCCAAAAAATCATACTTTTATATTTTCCCTGTCTTCTATCTCTTATTTCGCGATGCTTTTCAGGCTGTTGATCCCTTTCCTGCGGCTGGGAGAATGGCTAACGAACGGTGGACACATAATGCTCTCGTCCAACGCTCTCTGGAAGGCCGTCACTGGAAAAGCCACCAAATCTATACTTTTAAGCCTTCTCCATGCGGTAAACACAAAGATGGATCACATTTTTAAGCGAAGATGTGTGATGTCTCATTCGTTGGGTAGCTGACTCCACTTAACTGTTTATTACAGCTTGTTGGCTGGGCTGTCGCAGCACCTGCGATCATGGCCCTCCTGTATTTCTGTTTCTTGCCCATATTCAGCTGTTTGATCCGGAGATACGGAGCAAAAACCGACCCCGGTCTTCAGATTGGACTTCTCGAAGAGGAAGAGCAGTAGAGGTGAGACTGATTTTTCTTGCGAGCTAACAATTTGTTTATTCCAGGGATACTTCAAGCTATCGTTTGTCTTCACTAGGAGCTGATTCGTCCTCCTCGTCGGTGCCTTTCTCTGGTGCCGCTGGCGGAGGATTAACCAAGAGTTGAAGACCATAGAGCGCCAATCCAATGGCGTCGGCAGCGAACACAAAGGTAGCGAGGTAACATATCCCACTTATAATAGTTCTGCATGAGAGGAGAAAAAAAGAAAGAACAGTTTCGAGAGTTAGAGACAAGGAAGACCTCAGGTGCGAAAGAGTACCTCACAGTCACCGCAATGTTCCTTGTCTGTGGTGATCAAGGCACAAGCATGTCAGCGGCAGAAACTTGCATCAAAGTTTTCACTTACAGCATATTCTGTTGGAAGTGGCTTTGAAGCGAAGGAGCCGGTCACTGCCGTGGTGCACTGGTAGAGCACAAAAGCTATTGCGCCGGCCAAGAGAGCTCCATACAGGGTCTGCTCAAACGATGGTGGTGGCTTCTCCACTACCTGGTTGGCGAGGCTAGCGAGCGCATTCTGCTTGGCCTGTTCCTTCAAAGGTTTCTGGAAAAAAAGAGTTTTTCTTCTAAAGTTTGCTGTGAAGAACAGTGTAGGAGAAGAACCTTCTCTTTGGCTTCTTTGTATCGTCGTCTCAACGAGCGGAGGAGAAGAACCGAGATGGCACCAGTGAGAACGACGCTACCTGCGATTTGGAGTGGCGAGGTGGGCTGCTCCAAATCGCCGGGGAGCTCAATTGGGCCGTCGAGAGAAGACGAGGCATCAGCGATGGCCTGCTCGGCAACTTGAGCTATTTGCTGGTGGAGTCTCAATGCCCGAAGAACTCCTCCTCTCTTGCTCCTCGTCAAGCTTGCCGAGAAAAAACGAGAATCTGGAGCGAATGCAAAAGACCCACCACAGTGTAGGAGCAATCCCAAGCTCCCACTGCTCATTTTCTATCTAGGTAAGAAGTCTTTGATATTGATTAGATAGAACTTTAAACATTAGATAGAAAACGAACTTCTACGAGGTAATCTTAAGATCATTGTCTAGCAAGTTTTCCAAGTACTTAACTTCGAGGCTGGCATGGGCTTCCCACTGTTCCTTCCTGATATCACAAACAACACGAAGCAGTCGAGGATTTCCCTTCACCTGGTCTGGATCCAAGTCAGTGCCACAAATCCTGGCTCGCTTGCGAGGGGGACACGACGTGATCATATCATCCATTCCATATCTCACACCTCTGCGCAAGTGATCTCTCCTTGCTTCCACCAGATATCTGAGAGCCTCGGTCGCCGCCAGAACACCAAAGCTCACCACTCTTTGCACCAATCCGCACTCCTTGTAGAGTAGCTTCCATGTTAAGTGGATCCGAACGACGAGCTGGTCAACCATGGCTGCGATCATTCCCTCATGTCCAAACCACAGCACTGCCTCCACAAACTCTTGGACCTTTTCGCTCATGCCTTGCAACTTGGGCTTCTTGCTGCCGTTGTACTCGACCAAGGCCTTGTCCTCCTCTCCATCAAACACTTGTTTGATTTCGAGAACGCGTAAACATAGGTCCTTGAACAGCCTTGCCATATTTTTGTTCGTCTCCTTCAAGCCTATGAAACCGGCCGCGTCTTTCATCCCTGCTATCACCGCGACTAGTTCCACATGTTTCCGATCCCGGGCGCAGCAGTCGAATGCCACTTCATATGACACAAGCTCCCTTGACAAGAGGAATGCTGCCAGAAAAGGTTCCCCTTGGATATTTCTCGGATCGATGTAATTAGGCAAAAGACTCTGGAGCTTGGATGCAAAAGCTGTTGCCAAGTCGTGGGAGCCGTATCCTGCCACCTTAAGAATCATCCGTGCCACAGGATCCAGATTATAGGCTCCACTACCGTAACTGTTATAATTGGAAGCCTTTTCCATGGATCCGATGCGAAGTTCCACAGCTTCGCGATACTCTTCTCGATGCGCAGCCACTGCAATCTTCTCGATTGGCATGTCTTTCAGGATTTCTGTCACCTCGTCCTTAAGCCCATAGCTCAAGCAAAACTCCAAAATCTTAACATCATAGGGCACATGCCGCGCCAACAACTTTGCAAGCTCTAGTGCATCATCCTCACGTCCAACTGACTTGAGCTCCATAACCAGATCCATAGATCTCCCTGATTCACCTCGAAATGAGATCATGCACTTTTTGACATCGTCCCATGGCAACTTAGACATCGGTGTCCAAAACAATGGATCATAATTTCCCCAAGCCTTTACAAGCATCACAGCATCTTCCTCGAGCCCAGACTTACAGCACAAGTCTAAAACCTGAGCCCAAACCTCAACCTCGACACCGCTGTTACAATTTTGGCCTTGCAAGACACACACCAGGTTGTGCACATCCCTCTTGGCCTCGGTCGAGTCGAGGCGAGCCAAGTGTTTTTCCAGCACTCGTGCGATGAGCGACCTCAAGTTTTTCTTCAAAGAGCTCCACTTATGCTTGAAAACCTGCAATTTCCTGCTTGCAGGCCAGACCACCAGCGCTGCAACATGAAAGACGTCAACCTCATCGTCGACAACGCTGCTGCTCATGAATGGCTCGTTCTTATCGCCGCTACATGACCGGAGCACGTCTATATCCAAGACGTTCCACCTCCCATAGTCAATTCGGAGGTCATCTGTCGCTGAAACCCAATTTTCAACCCAGTAATTCTCTATCTCCTGCTTTACTCGTTTCGTGAGCGTGCAGAGATGGAGCTCCAGAAAGTCGCAGTTCATAACGAGTGCAGTCACCACACGGTCGTGCCCCTTGAGACCATGAAAGCTCATGGACGAATATGAGTGGCCCAGTGGAACCACCATCAAATCCCTTGCACTCGGTGAACTAGTGGCGGCCCAGCGCTGGAGTAGCGACTTGACACGCCCTGATGTGGAGGCGAAGAATGGGAAGTTGTCCACGGAAAGAAAGTTTGCCTTCTTGGCCAGCAATCTAAAAACCAAGCACACCCTTGATCCCTTGGTCACCTCAGCGAGTTTGTTCCTACAACCGCGGAAAAAGATGGCATGGTAGCAATCTGTCCTGGAATGGAAGTTGAATTCCTTGGATGAATCCTCATGCGAGATGGTGAGCTTTCCACCTGAGTGGCCAGATTGGGTGGGGAGCTGGATGATCATGGTCGCTAAGCAAGAACCCTTCATCACAAACATTAGAGGCTCACTACCTGATTCCATGAGAAACATCTCCGAGAGCTCCACTTCCACCTCCATGCCGAGCTGAAGAGCCTGGGCAGCAATGTCGTGGGCGGCCTTTTCCAGGAAATCCGGATTCTCAGGGCACGAGATCTTGGAGGCACTCACTCTCCATATCTGGAACCTATAGCGCTCAGCGGCTGCCTTGATCTTGTCCAGATCTTGCTGTGGCAAAGGAACATCGACCCTCCCGACGCCTTCCACTGAAAGAGAGGCTGGAATCGTTGCTTCATCGATCTGGCCTCCAGTTGCGAACGCGATCGTGGGCTCCCCACCACGCCAAAGCGCCTGAAGAAGATCGTCCTTGAGCATCCCCATAAACAAACCCTTTTTGCCACCTTCGTCAGGATATTCTAATATATATTTGTACTTATTAGAATATCCTGATTGATATTCTAAATCAAGCTTCATCTTGATTTAGGAAAAGAGGGAGCCAAAAGCCGCGTACCTTTGAACATGGACAGGATTTCCCTCCGCTTGGGCTTTTTCAGCGGCGGAGTTGTCACGCCCAAATGCTGCTGCTGCTGCTGATCCCAAGTGCTCCTCCGGCGATGATCCTCACCACCATCATCATCAGCCTCGCGTTTGACAGCACCATTCGCAAAATTCCCATCACCATCAACTTCAGTCTTCACTTTGGCTTCGATCACCTCCTGCTTCACGCGAGCTCTTGAGCAACGATCTGCGAAAGGCTGGAAACCGAGAGATCCATCGGCCGCCACCTTGACCTCGAACACACTTCGTTTCGCCCCTGGGCCAGGAACACCACACGGCTGGAAGGCGATAGAACCATTTGCTCCCACCACCACCTCGAAGATACCGGAAACTGGCTTTGCCGCATTCTTGGTCCGACCATTTGTAACATTTGGCTTCACGTCGTGATCATCGACTTCTTGCTTGATCACGTCTTCTTGTTCTTCATCATCACCCATCTCTTCCTCGCCATACTGTTCTCCATATCCACGATGGCCATAGAAGTAGGCGAAGCTTTCATAAAAGCACGGGCGGGAGCGCTTCTCTCGCAGCCGCTGGAGCGAATCATCAAACAGCTGGTTGTAATCCATCATCTTGGCAGCCTGTGGCGATGATCCATGAGAAAGCACCACATTGTCCACACATCCCAGGCGGATCTCCTCGCCCTTGGTCCGCTGATCCGGCAAGAGCTCCCCCACCTCCACATTCCTGTAGCAAGCCCACGATTTGACGCTCATGAGCCTCTCCATCACCACCACCTTCTCTGGAAATCCCCCTGCGCAGTAGAGCTCGCGCACGATCCAGCTCTGCTCCTCGCGACTGATCCGCGAGACCTTGTCCAGCGGCAGCCGGAAGTGGACGATGAGCCGCTGCATGGCCTCGAGATTGCAGTCGTTGTAGCGCTCGTACTCCGCGATCGCGGCCCGGCACTGCGACTCCGTGAGGGATTCGTGGCCCTCGCGATCGATGGCACCCACGATCAGCAGCATCTGCTTGGAGTAGCCCCAGGGCAGCGAGCCAGACGTCCAAGAACCAACACTGCCGCCCAATCTATCGGAGATTGCGGCATTGAGCTCCGCCCGGGAGGAGAATCCATCCCACCAGAGCTCCGGCATCACGCCATGGAATCCAGCGTACCAGGCCTGCTTGCGAGTGGGGAAGAATCGCGCGTCCACCATCGCTGCTTGTATCAAGCCCTAGGCGCGCATTTTGTAACAGCTGTTTTTATATCTTGAACACGTGGATTGATGACGTGGCGAATCCAAGGGTCGCGGCTTTAAACTCTTTGACTGTCGATCTCTTTCTCTTTAGGCGCGAAAAGGGAGAGAGCGAGAGAGAGAAGCGATGGTGCGACCTGCTAGGCCAGCTTCTACCAATGCTCCATCTCTCATGAGGCGGCGGAGGAGGCGCCGAGGAAGAAAAGTAGGATCATCCACTCCAATTCCTTGAACTCTTCTCGATTGATTGGATTGAAATCGCCAAACGACCATGACACTCTTGGAACTTGGGAAATTGCAGAGACGCAGAAGAGGACACAAGAAGAGATCGGCCTCCACGAGCGCTGGAACGAGGACCCAGCAGGGATAGATCAAGATCGATCGATCAAAAACTCCACCCACACATTGACAGAGCCATGATCTCTCGATAAGTCGGTCACACATGAATAAAAAAACGCTCCTCCTTCCTCTTTAAAGACGATCTCCTCGAGTTTTCCAAATGAGATGACTTGAGCGCTTAGCGCTGCATTCTAGAAATCTAAAGTTTTGAGACGAGCGAAGAATGGAAAGTGGCGACGTTGTGCTCTCGTGATCTTCCCTGGCAAATCTCTATCTGGTTCTTTAATCTTTGATTCCAGAAACTCAGAAAAAAGGTTGGAGATGATAGATAGATGCAACAAAGATGGAAACTGGCGGCTCTAATAAGAAGTTGTGGCACTGTTCGTGAGCTTTTGGACATCAAACAACGCCTTCTGTTAGACGCCACTGACACTTTTCTCTCGAATTTAATCGTTTCGACGTTTGGAAGGCTGGGACACATCCAAGATGCAAAGAGGTTTTTCGATTCGATGCCCCACAAGAACGCCTTTTCGTGGAACATTCTTCTTCAAGAAAATGCCCGAAATTGGCATTTTGATGAAGCACAGTTTACTTTCAACAAGATGCCCTTCAAGGACGTCGTTTCGTCCACGATTGTATTGAAAATGCTTTGCCAGATCGCAGGCTTGGGGGAAGGTAAGAAGTTCTTTGAATCACTTCCACAAAGGAATGCCTTTTGCTGGAACGTTATAGTTGCAGCAAGTGCCCAAATCTCGGATTTCGGTAGCGC